TGTTGTGAAGTGCTTCTCTCTTGGGCTTCTGATTTTATGAAGGATATAAACCTGTGCTTAGCTTTAGGCCTTGTCTACACTATGCACGAAAATCGATCTAAGATACGCAATCTGATTTACATTAATAGCATAACTCAAGTCAACGTACTTAGATCTACTTACCATGGGGTCCACACTACACGATGTCAACTGGAGAGGCTCTCCCATCGACTCCCCTTACTCTTCTCCATCCGATGGAATACAGGAGTCAATGGGAGAGTGATCGGCAGTTGATTTAGTGGGTCTTCTCGACTCACTAAATTGACTGCTGATCCATTAATTGCTACAGCATCGATCCTCTGGTAAGTGTAGACAAGCCCTTAGATACATGCTTAAGTCCCACTGAAGTGAATGGGACTTAAGCACATGTTTGAGTGCTTTGCTGAATCTGGGTTGTTACCAGCTGCCATGTGCCATGGCAGAGGTGGCATTTGCTCTCTACTTACAGCTTATAAATCACTTTGAGATCTTTTGGGATGATTAGCACTGTAAAAATACCTTACTGGCCCAGAGTGACATGGTATATGTAACCACCATCTTTATGACAAAGAGCCAGCAAAATAATGCAGGTCACAGCAATGTCTTCAGCTAGCAGCATTATTTGCTACATTTCGAGTGCCAGGGTGGATCCAGTCCAGCCCAGGAAGCATGAACTGGCATAGAAGGAATGACAGACATTAGGCATAAGTACTTTTTATATCAAGAGTTTGGCAAGTTACTTGTTGGAAAAATCTGTTCCCATGAATGCAATCCAAAATCTGCAAGTTGTGCTATCAAGGCATATGATAACTTCTGCTATCCAGGGATATGTTAATTTGTGCCATCCTGGGATATGCCAAATCATTGCCAGGGTAATAGTTCATTCCAGATGCCAGTCAAGGTCCCTTTCAACGGCCTTAGCGCATTTTGGAATGCGAGTAGTTTTGATGTGACTGTAGAACACAGTGTACTTTCTCCACCAGAAATGGTGCAAATAACTTTTGAGTGAAAAATGGGTAATTTCCTACAATTTCCCCACTTAAATGTGGTTTGCAATTATGCACTTACTGATCCCTTTTTTTCTGTGTCTACATGACAGAAAAACATTTCTTCCTTCATTGGTATGTATATTCCAGAATGGGAACTGAAAACAAACAAAGAAAATTAAGTTGAAAGTGATAGAACCAGAAACTTGGTTCCCTAAAGACGGAAATTGTGTGTAATAATTTATGTAAAGGGCAGGTAGATACCACAGCAACAGTTCATTAGTGATAGAGAGAGACACCACAAAAGGATTGGAGTGAGACAGGTGATCAGCTTCCATATCCAGACAATTTTTCAAAGAGAAATTATGAAATTAACTGAATGACATATTCACCGAATAGTATTTGACCAGCTGTCGTACCTAATATGTATGAGAGCTGTCAGTTTGCATATGTCTACAGACTCATGCTCATAGATTTGGGGGACTGTATTTTCTAATGAAAAACCATTCTATTAAAAAAGCAAGCAACTGTTCATTTTTTTTTAAATGAGAATTTAGTGAACACATCAACAATGTGAAGAACACATCAACAATGAATTCCACCTTGGGGCAGGTCACTTGATACAGTATTGATAACATTATTTTGTGTATAGAGAATGAAATCCAGTTCACAGATTAGGAAGAGAAGTGAATTTAGCCAGGGCAAAGCACATAAATAAAACAGACTCAGCTTTGGAGAAGAATAAATGAAGGAATGCAAGTGTGTCAGTTAAAGCCATGCAAGGAGGATGCAACATTAACCATTACAGGTAATTAACCACCAAAACAGTTTACCAAGGCATTGATGGATTCTCTATCCCATGACATTTTTACATCAAGATGGGATGGCTTTCAAAAAGATATGCTGTAGTTCCACCCCACGCTATCTAAGGTGCTCATTTGCCCCTCCAGCAGAGTATCTGAGCCCCTCACAATCTTTCCTTTATTTAACCCACAATACCCCTTTGAGGTAGGGCAGTGGTTCTATCCCCATTTTATAGATGGGGAACTGAGGCCAAATGACTTGCCTGTGGTCAGTTAGGAAGTGCACAGACTTGAACATAAGCTTACTAACTTAGAGTCTAGCACCGGTGCAGGAATCACTGGGTGAAATTTTGTCCTGTGTTCCGCAGGTGGTCAGACAAGATGTTTTCATGGTCCCTTTTGGCCTTCATAGCCACAAATATGAATGAATCTATGAAAACACAGTAGGGGCTGGTCCTGTATACAGTGTAGGCCTTACTCTCTCGAGTAGTCCCATTAGGTGAAAAAAAAGCTAGTCATGGGATCATAGCTATTCATGTCAATAAAGATTTGCCAAATCTGACCCGTTGTGCATGTTCTTGCTTCCTATGTTTTCTCAACAGTAAGTACGGAACTCTCTGGCATCTCTTTGGGAAACAGAAATCATTATGAGACACAGTATGGAGGAAAAGTGCTTAATAGGGCACAGAGCAGCACACCATATCGATCCATTTTCCTCTTACTTGAAAGAATGACTGAATGCACAAATAACTGAATTTTCATTTTGTAGTTTGAGCATTTTATTTTCCATTTTTCTAAAGATGCCTCCCTAAGCCAAATGAATACTGGAAACGAGAATTCAGTGTGGCCAAGGACAGGGGCAAAAGTCAGCGAGCTGAACCCCCATCCTTTCTCATGCTACCATTTTGTACTGGCGCTAGCACCATGAAGTAAAGATTTCTATTGAAATTCGGAGCCCTGGGCCATTGTAACTGAGAGCAGAAACTCTCTATTTGGGTGGAAAGAAAAGAGCAAGATTCATCTCTCAAAACCAAGTTGTTTTAAAAGGATATACCCGTGTTGAAGCTGCTCAGAATTTCATGCAGTTGGAAGCAGTCCTGGCAGGGGATTTATGGGCAGAATGTACATGAAGAAGTCAATGATTCATTACCAATGCAATGTATCACTATCCATCTTAGACACTTATGTGACTTCCATCATTGTAGTATCTGAGTACCTCAGACTCTTTGACAGAGCAGGGAAGGGTAGTTATCCCCATTTCACAGATGAAGAACAGAGCACCTGAGTGACTTGCCCACCAAAGTCTTCAGCAGAGCAGGAGTTTGAACCTAGGTCTTGCAAGTCCTAGCTTAGGGCAGTAAACTGCTGACCCTCTTTCATTGCACCTCATTCCCCTGCTACTCTACTATTCAGAACATATTACAGCCTACATAAAAACATGTACAAATAAATTGGAGCAATATCCACAAAGAGAATCTCCTTTTACACCAGCACAATCTAGTCCTTTCCTTCCCAAGTCCATCTACTCATATCCCATTCAATACCGGGAATATAGGTAGAGATTGCAGCATTCCTGAATATTGATTCACCTCCTTGAATAATAACAAGGGGATTCCCATTACAAAGGGGATACAGAAAGAGAACATAGACTGGGGCTGTATTGTCTTCCTTCGCTGTGATCCAATGTGTTTCCACACCGTACGCAACTCCTGTCCACTCTTGCTTTGGCTGGCTTTTTCCACCTATGGCCTTCCAACTCCCTCTTGATCAGGTTTCAACAGCCAGAAAGTCGCCATGTGGGGTCAATACAAATGTTGGAAGCTGAGCTACATTCCATCCAGCATGCAAAGAGTTACTGACGTAGCCAGGACCCAAATCATGTAGAGAGCTCTCTCCCCAGTCTTAAATTGTTATAAGTTTAATATCAAAAAATAACCCAGCAATGTCAAGATAAAAAAAGAATGCCTTACTATAAACCAACAGGAAAATGACTCAGGTGTTTGTGTTACCACCAGGAGCACCTGGATCCCAACACACTAAGCCCCACTCCTCCAGCATCTGGACCCCCCCCACGGAGCTCCCACACACACACCCTGACACCCCCCACCAAGCTCTATCACCCCTCACATCCAGCCCCCGCCCCCTGCTGAGCCCCAAGCACCTTCACCTGGTTCCCTCAGCACAGGGTTGATGTTGGGAGAACCGGGTCCATTACCCCCAGTGGGTTGACCTGGTGGCTGCAATGCTTTGCAGCCGGGCTGTCCCCCAAAGAGGATGCCAGAGGGGATGCTGCTCCCCGCCAACAGAAGCCACAGCGGAAGGCTTAATATTCAAGCTGTAGGGAGACTAATGGAGGCTCTGTAGTGAGCCTCTGGAAGCTAATTTGTGGCCATCCTCCCAACCACTGGGTTATAGGCTGTCCCCCAAGCCTGGAATGCTGTTCTGAGCAGGAGGAGTAGGAGCACTGTCCCACGGGACTAGCGACACTCTACGTCTTTGCTTTGGATTTGGAGATTTTTTCCCAAATTCTGACCGAGGTGAATCAGTTTCATCTCTCCTGGACTCCAAGCTGCCGACTGGGCACTCTGAAGCTAACCAAGCGTACACAGAGAGACAGATTCCTAAGCAAGCGTAGCATTTTCTGAATCCCGTTGAGATGCAGAGAGATAGGTAGTTATCCAAAGCCAGAGCACCGTAGCCTGACCAAGACTTTTTGAGTGTAGCAGTTGGGCTGCTCCGGTCTATTTACCAGGATGGATGAGTGGTTAGACTCCAGCCCCGAGAGGATTAGCGTATGTGGGTTTGAATTCTAGTTCTGGTAGGCTACCCTTCGACCAACTGGTACAGAAATTAATGCTGCTGCTTCTCTTTGTGAAAACCTTCTTCTGTCCTGCTCTGCTGCGCCCAAGCCGAACATTAATGAATATCTTCAAGAAGGCAATCACCTCACTACTGGGGGACAATAGGCCCAACCCCAAACTGCCACCAAGGCCCCAGTGAGATTTAAACTCACAATCCCTGGTTTACAGGGCCAGTGCGCTAACCCCTGAGCTATGGAGCCAGGCAGCTTAAGTGCTCTGCCCAAGCTTATGTAAGGGATGCTGCGCCTGCCATCATCCCGAACTCAAAGCAGTGGGCTGGTTGACGATGTCCCAAGAAGTCTTTCTTCTACTGGGCCAAGATTGGGCCACTTACCAGAATGGCTGAGCAGTTAAGGCATTGGACTTAAGTTCCAATAGACATGTGTCTGTGTGGGTTTGAGCCCCACTTCTGGTAAGATGCTGCTCTCCTACCTGGTATATCTGAACAGCTAGCTTTTATTCCTTGGCAATGGCACAGCCCCTATAAGGAAAGCTCCCTCCAGCTGCCCACCACTGGATGAGGCAAATGAGTCTGCAAACTTATCCCTGTGGCAAGGCTCCTTCAAGATTTGAACTCACAACCCTTGCTTTACCAAATCAAAAACTCAACATCAAGCAAACCCCCATCACTCCTGGAAGAGCACAGTTTGCCCCACAAGTTGCTAATTTTACTCCTGGGGGAATTCTGAGCCACTGTGCATGAACAGAATTTATGTCCCGTGCAGATTTCTTTGCTTCCCTGCAGAAAAAGGACTTTCTGATGGGGAAGCAAAGGGAAGACAGAAGACCAGTCATGCAACCCTCCACAACAGTTGTTTCGGGTGGCCAGGGCAGCTGACAGAGAGGTAAATTACTGTGGGGCAGAAGGAGGGACTGGGCAAGACCTCGCTAGTGGCTGCTGCCCTGCGACGGGCTCAGCTGCTAGTCCTGGCTGGGCTGGGGAGGACAGGACTTCCTCTTCCCCTGCATGACATCCGGGGCCTGGTCAGACCCACCCCCAGATTTCTCCCTCAGCTGCAGGAAGCTCTGTAAACTTCCCTTCCCCCACACTGCTTCCTGCACCCATCGCTGGCAGAGAGGTAAATCACTGTGGGGCAGGGGGTGGGACTGGGGAGGACCCAGCTCGGGAAGACCCTGCACCCATTGCTCCTCAGGTGCAGGGAGGAATCCCTGTACAGAGAGCTGCTCTCCCATGCAGCCAGCCCCGCCCCATGCATCCAGAACCCCTCATACCTAGACCCTCCCGCTGATCCTCACCCCCCACCAGTATTCAGAAGTTCCCCCAATGAGCCCCACTCCCCCTGCACCTGACCGACGAGCCATCCACACCCGGATCCTGACACCACCAAGCCCCAACCAGCTGCACCTGGATCCCAACCCACTGAGCCCCACTCCCCCAGCATCTGGACCCCCCACAAGGACTCCCACACCCAGAACCCCCTGCCAAGATCTATCCCCCCTCACATCCAGCCCCCCCCGATAAGCCCCAAGCACCTTCACCTGGTTCTCCCTTGCCCATTGCCTGCACCCAGAACCCCCCAGCAAGCCTCTGGGCATCCAGCTCCCCCCACCGCCCGCATACGGGTCCCCCACTGAGCCGCTCGCACCCAGATTGCCCCACACAGAACCCTCTCCACCCACACCTGGGTCGCTGCATATTTGGATACTGACTTGCTGAGCCTGCGTCCCCACACCTGGTGCACCTGGCATGGATGAGCAGGGCCCTGGGGGTTTTCTGGGGCAGGCCCAGTCCTTGCTTTATAAGGGTTGGGTGCAGCCTCACTGCTGAGTATGTGTCCGGGGGTGGGGGGAGCTGCACATTGATTTCCCACCTCTCTGCAGGCGGAAAGCTGTGCTCCCCAATGCCATGCTGAAGCCTCCACATTTATTTGGTATATAACATTTGCAGAATTTTGCAGAATTTTAAAATATTGTGTGCAGAATTTTTAGGCACAGAAGACAATCAGAATTATGATTTGCCTCAGCCCCCTGGTCTGAGGGCCCGCACCTTCCAAGACCACTGCCATGGAACAAGGCAGCGTGCTGCACCGCCACACACAGGACCAAGCACGTGTGGAGAGCCCTTCGTGTTGGGAGCAGAGCATGGTCGTGAGGGAGCCACTACGCACCGGGAGTGCACCTCCTATCCCTGGGGAAGTTGGCTCTAAAGCCTTTGTAGGCCACCTGGTTCTGGATCAGGGTTTTGATCAGCCCTTCAGTGGGATGGCAAAGGTGCCCTCAGTGTGGGGTTGAGGTTGGGAGAACCAGGTCCATTACCCACAGTGGGCTGACCTGGTGACTGCAATCAGTTCCAGACGGGCTGTCCCCCAAAGCAGATGCCAGTGGGGATGTGCCCCCTGCCAACAGAAGCCATGGCAGAAGGCTTAATATTCAAACTTAGGAGACTAAGGGAGGCTCCATAGTGAGCCTCTGGAAGCTAATTTGTGGCCCTTGCGCCTAGGGGTCCCGGGACCCCATCCTCCCAACCACTGGGTTATAGGCTATAGGTTATAGGTTATATCACCAAGTCTGGAATGCTGTTCTGAGCAGCAGGAGCAGGAGCACTGCTCCCACAGGACCAGCGGCACTCTACATCTTTGCTTTGGATTTGGAGATTTTTCCCAAATTCCACCGTAGCATGACCAAGACTTTTTGGGTGTAGCAGTTACACTCCTCTTGTCTATTCATGAGGATGACTGAGTGGTTAAGGTGTTAGACTCCTGCCCCAATAGGTGTGAACTTATGTGGGTTTGAATCCCACTTCTGGTAGGGGGCTGCTACCTATTGACCAACTGGTTTGAAAATTAAGGCAGCTACTGCTTGTTATCAAAATCTTCTGCGCCCAAGCCCAAAATTAATAAATAGCTTCATAAAGGAAACCACCTCACTACAGGGGGACAACAGGGCCACCAAGGCCCCATTGAGATTTGAACTCACAACCCCTGGTTTACAAGACCAGTACTCTAACCTCCGAAGCTAGGCAGCTTAGGTGCTCTGCCCAAGCCTATGTAAGGGATGCTGTGCCTGCCATCATCCTGCGCTTAAAGCATTGGGCTGGTTGACCATGTCCCAAGAAGTTTTTCTTCTACTGGACTAAGCTTGGGGCACTTACCAGAATGGCCGAGATGTTAAGGCATTGGACTTAAGTTCCAATAGACATATGTCTGCGTGAGTTTGATCCCCGCTTTTGGTAAGCAACTGCTCTCCTATCTGGTAGCTCTAGGCAGCTGGCTTTTGTTCCTTTGCCATGGCACAGCCGCTAGAAGGGAAGCTCCCTCCCACTGCCAGCCAAGGTGAATAAGTCTGCAAACCTACCGTTTTGGTAAGGCTCCAGCGAGATTTAAACTCAGGATCCCTGCTTTACCAAACCAAAAACACAACATCAAGCAAACCACCATCACTCCTGGAAGAGTACATCTCACCACAGAAGGTGCTGATTTTACTCCTGGGGGCAATTCTGAGCCTCTGCTCATGTGCAGAATTTATGTCCCCAGCAGATTTCTTTGCTTCCCTGCAGAAAAAAGACTTTCTGATGGGGAAGCAAAGGGAAGACAGAATAGCAGTCATGTGACCCTCCAAGCAGTATGTTTCAGGTGGCCAGAGCAGCTGGTAGAGAAGTAAATCACTGTGGGGTAGAGTGGCGGGACTGGGAAATACCCTGCTGGTGGTTCCTGCCCTGCGCCAAGCTCAGCTGCTTGTTCTGAATGGGCTGTTTCTGGGGTAGACCCAGTCCTTGCGCTGGCAGGGTTGGGTACAGCCTCACTGCTGAGTTCGTGTCTGGAGAGCTGCACAGTGATCGTCCGCCTGTGCTCCCCAATGCCATGCGAACCTGCGGACGTGGCAGGTAAACAAACCGGCTTGGCCCGCCAGGGGCTTTCCCTGAACAAGCGGAGGCCCTAGTTTGAGAACCACTGTTCTACAGTACATTGGGAGGAAAGTGATACTCCATCCCTCACAGTGGTCTGTTGCATTTGTTTCCATCCCTAAACACATGGCTCTGGGGTTCTGCGTTTTTCTTCTTTTTTAGAAAGGCCCCTAGGTTTGTTTGCATTTTTTTCTCATCCCACTGTATTAAAAGCAACATGTCTACAGAATGGCTGTCAACAGCAAGTTCTTTTGCTGCTTAAGCTAAAATCACATCCCTTCTGCTTTGCCCAACAACTCAAAGGTTCCTAAGTATCAATGGATGAGGTTGTTTTGTCTAATTTCACACCCACTCTAATGCTGTGGGGGCAAAACTAGGACTAGACCCCAAATGTTCTTGGGGAAGAAGTTAAAACGGGGCAAAGAAGGGGGGGAGAGAAAATACAGTGAGACAATTTTTAAAAAGGGTGGAAAATGAAGCAGGCTGTAAACTTCTTTACAGTCACTTCTGCCAGTTTTCTCGACAGCTGATGACTTGCATGGACATTTTAACCAAGATGAAGACACCCTGAAGCAGGCGCCATTTTTAATTCTCAAGAGGATGTCAGAGTTTATTCACACTAATAAATGCCTTTTACTTTGTTACATTATTGTTACTTATTATGATTGGGCTTGAACTAGAACCTAGATGCGCCAACAAACATTTTAGTTCCATCGTTCTAGGTTCTGAACATGTAGAGGTTGCCTAGACAAACAGTTGGGGAAGTGGTAGATAATGAAAAGGACAAGTCACTGATTCAGAGCAATCTGGATTGCTTGGTAAACTGGGTGCAAGCAAACAATATGTGTTTTAATAGGTCGAAATGTAAATGTATATATCTACGGAAAAAGAACGTAGACCACACTTACAGGATGAGGGGCTGTTCCCTGGGAAGCTGTGACTCAGAAAGGTTTGTGGATTGTGGTGGATAATTAGCTGAGCGTGAGCTCCCAACGTAATGTTGTGTCCAAAAGAGCTAATGCAATCCTTGGATGTATATACAGGGGAATCTCAAGAAGGAGAAGAGAGGTTATTTTACATCTATATTTGGCAGTGGTGTGACTGTTGCTAGAATACTGTATCCAGTTCTGGTGCCTGAAAGAGGTTGATAAATTTGGAGAGGGTCCAGACAAGAGCCATGAGAATGATTAAAGAATTAAAACACATGCCTTATATTGATAGACTCAAAGAGTTCAATCAATTTAACAAAGAGAAGGTTAATGGGTGACTTGATTACAACCTATACATATGTACGTGGGGAACAAATACCTAATAATTGGCTCTTCAATCTAGCAGTGAAATGTACAACTTGATCCAAGACTGGAATTTAAGGTAGACAAATTCAGAATGGAATAACGTGTGCATTTTTAACACTGAGAGGAATTAACAATTTGAACAACTTGGCAAGGGTCACAGTGGATTCTCCATCACTGACCATTTTAAAATCAAGATTGGATGTTTTTTTCTAAACTATTTTGGGGCAGTGCTATGTCCTGTGTTATACAGGAGGG